GCTGGCAAAGCAGGAAGAGAGATGAAGTAACACTGTAAAAATCTGGGTGCAATCAGCCTACTTCTGACGGCAGAGATCACAGCGAATCCTGATGGGTCATAAGCATCATGGGCAGTGGGAGCAAAGCCCTCCTTGCCATTATAGCATGGCAGTAGCTTAAGGAAAAGCGAAGCATCCTGGAAGGTTTCTCTTGTGAGGGTTGCTTTTAGGGTATCTGTGCAAAATATGCACTATGGCATATTTTGAGGGGCTGTGATAGCACTGAGCTTGGCACCACATAATCTTTGTGTGAACAACTGATTGAAGAAAGTCAAGCTCTGTTTATTCATCCAAGCTGTGTTGTCCAAGTAACTAAGCTCTACCATCTGTCTCCCAGCTCTGATACAAGGGGTTGACCTGAAAAAGCAGACAAGCTGAAACGCCCAGCCTTTTGAGCAAGAATAGGACCTTTTAACAGTGCACAGCACTTTAATATGCTTGCTCTCTTTTTTTAATTCTGAATATCAGGCTCAGTTCCTGGAAAAGCCATTTATACAGTGACTGCTTTGCAAATTAGCATATTAATTATGTTCCACCACTGCTGGCTTTCTGTTGGAGAATATCAAAATTATTCTCGGACACAGGATGAGAATCCTACAAATGTCTAATTAGAAACACAATATATGTATTAATACATGGTAGATAATTTGATTCCATCCTTCTAAAATGATTCTGGCCCTGCTAGTCTGTGTGTGTTAAAATCCACATTAATTTGATCTGACACGCGACTGCCTCGGGTAATGAAAAGACTCAGTGTAGTAGCAAGGGGTCCACATCTCTTTGAAACACAAAGAGTATTGTCAGGGTAACTCACAGGTAAAGTCTCTCAGCTTACAAACCACCCTTTGCAAGTTTGTCAACGAAATGCTTCCTGATTAAGTCCCTTCCCCTCCATTGTGCCCACAGTACCCTGGTTTGATGTCACGAGGTTGCACACAAACGTGCTCTGTACATCCAGATTCGCTCTTACACTAGACACTGTTACACTAGCGCTGCTGGGTTTTAAGCTAAATGTATGCATCTGTATAGGAGCACGTTTTTTCAGAAGAGGAAGCAAAACTATTAGCTCACAACGTGTATGGCAGCTCCTGTGATTTTTATTTGACTCAGTATTGGCTGCAAACTGTTCAGAAATCTAAGGCTGAGCTATGTTCATGTGTGCTGGATGACACATGCATGGTAGTTGCCTGATGATTGCCATCACTATGAGGTTAAAAGTTAAAATACGTGTCACCTGGTCTGGTTAGTGGAGGCATTGCTCTGTTTACTATACTCCAGCTGTTGCGGATAGAAGGTGTGTATGTGCACAGACTGGTATAGGCACTGAGCTTTGTTTTGTTGTCAAGCTATATATTGTGGTTTTTGATTAGAGTCCTCCAGAGGCAGGACAGGCCTTTTGGAGCTGAAGAATATGAAACGCGGGACCAAGTTTCCAAGCTGAAACACGCACAATTTAGTACCTGGGTCTAAACCAGTCTGTGTTTCCTCCCTTCCAGTTTCCACAACAGTCCTGTGCCAGAAGCTGATGGAAGTGGTTCCACAACAGTCTTAAACAAAGCCAGCATGGACACTCGGTTTGAGAAAACGCACAATGCTGTTTGAGAACGACACAAAAGAAAAGGCATCTGATGCTGCTTCAATGAAACCTAGAGCACCTTGGCAGAGCTGCTGTGTCCCTGAGGCCCCACCACTCGCTCTGCCTGTCCCCTCTTCTTCTCCCCCATCACCACCCCCAGGCCAGGCAGCATGTTGGAGAAGAGTTCTTGGTACAATTTTAGTCCAGGATGAGGAGTTTCTGCTGGTCACCTCCAGAGACTGCAGCTCATTCACTAACAGTGAATCTCATCAGATTCTGTGTTTGTGTGTGTGTTTGTGTGCGTGTGCATGTGAGACTGAGGGCTCAACTTCAGTTCTGTTCACTGTTATTTAGTATCTTTATTTTTGGGAGTTTTGGGGTTGGTTTTTTTTTTATAATTTAAGATTAGCGACTTAATTTCTTCGTCACAGATACTGCAAGTGCATCTGCTGATGTAATGGAAACAATTCCTAACGTTGCCATCCGTATGTGTCTGCCTCCTAAGGGACTGGGATTACACACTGCTGCATAGCTACAGTCCTCCAAGTCGGGCTTGTTGAACTGCAATGAGCTGCGCTGACCTGCCTGCCAAGGTGACGTTCTTGGAAGACGTAGGCACCAGCAGACAAACCAAATGAACCAAAATAGGCGTGACACTGATTTTAAACGAGGATCTGCACTGATTTCAGCCGAGTCCCTGCCCCATCTCTCTGTTGCCCCAACTCAGATGGAAATTTTATTTTTTAGACATTCATTTTAGTGATTAATTAAACTGTAAATCACTGGGCATACATTTCCCCCCCCCTCCCCCGAGGACTCCAGGTGCTGGTGCTCTTTATGGACCATCTCTTTATAGAGATGTTTGCAAAGCAAAGATCATTCAACAGGCTTTAGCTGTTTTGGCATCTGCTCACACTCACAAAAATATATTCTCTTGGACACTTTGGAGTCTGCCAGAAAAGGCCTTTGGGCAGCAATTTGCAAAAGGCTAGGCAGAGCAGAATTAGCATCATGGAGAGGACAGGGTATGTGCACGTGTATATTGATTTTCATTCTAGTGCCGAGATTGCTGGATCATGCTCAGTTGCCTGGTTTTCTACCCTTTAATCCTACCCCTCTCTCTGTTATTGGGCCAGTATTCTAGGCCACTTTTGTAGTTGCACTAGTCCTATTGTTGCCTGTGGATACATTTTATTTTGGACTCCTGTCATTTACCCCTGTAAAATTAGTATTAGGGAACAAGGTGGGTCCTGAGGACAGGGCTCCATGCAATAAAGCTGAGAAATCCCAAAGGCTTACTGAAAAATGATCAGAAGCCTGAGTCATGGGAAGGCTGCATTTTTCTGAAGTCTGTCTGCAGTCAGGCTCAGTGCCATCCTTTCAAGTGTCCCTGTTTAGCATTCATCGTAACTGATGTTTGATCTGAAACCATTCATAAAGGGAATGCTTAAAATGGGTGCTCGCAGCTCACCCCCTGCCACTGCCGAGGATTGCGTGTCACTGTATGGATCACGTGATGGGTTTTTTAAATTAAGGCAATATTCACTTTGGATCTTTTTGATGACCACGTGGTGGACATGGCAATGAGTAGGTCTGGTGCAGAGGGAAACACAAGGGTCTCCACATGGCTGGAGTCCGTTGTTACCCATTTGTCATATGTCTGGTGAACGTTACTTTTCCTTCACCATTCGTAGAAGCAGCAGGCTGGAAAAATGCTCCTCCTTCCTGTAACACTGCAACACCAGACTCAACACAGCTGGCGTTGGATCCTTTCTAATGACACTTAGCTGGTTCCCAACTAGGATCTGCATGTGAATACCTGGATGCTTTTTGGGTGACTCCAGGGAGCTGGCATTTCCATTCCAGTCCATCTTCAACATAGTCTCATGCCTCCATAGAGGGCAATGCAACCTGCTGTGTGCATGTAGTCAGGGTCATTCTCTTAGGAAACATATAGCTTACTTAGCCAAAAATCTGTCTGTCTTAGCAGACTACAGGGTTTCCGTACTTAAGTACAATCATCCAAACGCTCTGTGTTTGTGGCAATGTTCTCTTTGAAACCAAAACATATTTTCCTTACAAAGAGAGCTACGCCATTGCTTACAGGAATCTCCTTTATGCTTTCGTCCTGCCACTCCCTGCACTAGGAAAAAGGGTAATTCAACTTTTGCCCTGCAGTATTGTTTTGTTGGCGCTTTTTTTTTGTAAACCCAGATGCTTTGAAGTAGCGACCCTGTAGAGTTAGTGGCTGTCTGTTTTATATTGAGATGTTTTGCCAGCACAGGGGATTTTTGGAAGGAGAAGCAATAAGCAGGCGGAGGATGCACTGGCCTTTTGTGAAGCAATTTAGTAGGGGGAGTTGGTAGCAATTCCAAACAGCAGCGAACACTGCTGGCAGGTGTGGTGGGAGAAAATAGCCAATAGTCGTAGTAAAACCAAGAAGTTAAAATGTGCAGCTCTGTCATTTTCATTAAGAAGAAAACCTGAAAGCTTTATTCTTAGAAAATATTTTGGGGAGTGGATGGCACCTTTGTCGTGTTACCCTCTCACTTCCAGGGCACCCTATTTTCCATCCAGCCTGGGTTGCTGGTGAACCAGGGGGTGCACTGATCCTGCACAATATGGAGCAGGAAGAGTGTTGCCTTGCGTGGTGTAGGCATACCCAAAGTTGTAGCCATCCCATGGCTGTCTTAGGACCTATGTGCATCCAGATGGTGGTCCTTAGATCCATTTTTAGTGGACAGGCATGTACACAGATAATCCCATGGGCTGTGCCTTTCCTCTGAAGTACGAATCCTTCCCAAGTCCAGGTTGAGCCGCTTTGGCTAGGTAGCAAGGAGAAGCTTGCCCTGCCATCAATAGGCTGTGCTTATCCTGTGGATATGAGACCCCTCGGTCTGTCAGACACCTTCCTCTAGTGCTGCATTTTCTTTTTGATGTTCTCAGGGCCAGTCGTATATGGGACCTGGTTTTAATTCCTTGACATAGCTTCTGGCTGTTTTTAGTTTTGAGTGTTGTGTAGACTACTGCAGAAATAGCTGGGATGGGAGGAGGCATGGAGGGGGAAACGGGATTTTCCTCCCTCACCCGTTCCAAGCTATGCTAAATGGATAGCTGGTCCCAACAGATGTGGATCCAGACAAAGTTTGGGGGACGTTTTGTTTACATGGGTCAAGAATAGAGGAAAAAATGAATCGTCTTTTGTTTAGCCTTTAAAATCTATTTAAAAATGGGAACGCACACTGAATAGTACCTCAACAAAAATAATCTTAGTTAAAACATTGACCTGGCTTGCCATTTCTTAATAACTTCTCTTCATTAGTTCTACCAGCTGCTAAAGATGTCCGTCTTGTATCTGTCTGTCTGGTCCTGTGATGAAACCATAGCCCCCCGCTGTGATGTCACCTTTGTTTCCATGGCAATGATTCTGTCATAGGATAAAACTTCTCACCACAGGACCATGCAGACGGTGAATTTGGTGAGCCCAGGTGAAGATCTCGTAAGCTGTAGCACCTTCAAAATGCAGCTTGTCTTTCAGGGTCCTGATTTACTGTCTCTGATGGGCATGTCAGGCGGTTCCCGTCACCCAGAGGCGAGCAGCCCAGACAGATATTTCTTGGGGGGGGGGAATGGGTGGAGGGGTGGAGTTGAATGAGCTTCATTTGGGAAGGGGGGGAAAAAACTTAAAGCAATGTCTGCAAAGAGATGAACTTGCTGTTACGGGTATTGAGGCCCTGAATAGCATCTGTTGCTCAATGCTAAGGTTCATGACTATCAGCCAAAGGCATGAGCATGAGCTAGTATAGCCCCAGGCTGGGTCTGTTAAACTGAGGCTCGGTGTGAAGAGAGTGATATCCAAGTGAAAGGTCTTTGCTGCTTTGCTGATGAAACACAAGGTGAGATGTGTCATTGGTGTGGGGGCACAAGTTCCTGAAGGTGGGTCGGTGCCAACATCTTTCCCAGAACCGGGTGGGTGTTTTCCACAATCAGTCATCCTGATTTATGCTTGAGATGAGCCAAAGGACTGCTCATCTTCTCTTCCCTGCGCCCCCACACACTTATAAATAAAACCACTGTTCCTTGTAAAATACTGACTGCTCTTTGATGTTGCCATACAGTCTTTTCTCCTGATGAGCGCTGTCGTTTGTAAACCCATCTAGAAGCCTGCAGTTGTGATTTCCAGAGTGACAGCTTTCTCCAGGATTCGTAGCATGGACGGGACCATGGCTGTCAAGTACAATAGCGTATAGATATTTTTTTTATAAGTGGTTGTGAATTTAAGTGGTCCCATTGGTAACTGTACTAAATGCACCATCAATATTCTCTGATGCAAGTAGGGGTTTCTTTAAGTATTCATGGAAAGAAAATAATTTTCCTTGAATACGCTGGGAAATGCATAGTGATACACAAGGGGTCAAAATAAATAAGTGCTCTTGATTCGATGGGCATAGTCCATCATGCTTTATAGAGTGACTTCTCTTGGACCTGAAAGGCTCACCGAAGTGAGATGAGAAGGCGACCTTCTCCATCCCGACTATGTTCTGCTACGACCTGCTATGGCAAAATCATGTGAAGGCTGCAATGCAATATCGGCTGTGATTTCAGAGCATTGAGAATGTGTCTGAGGCTTAAACCGAGTTCACTGGCAATTCTGTAGGGCAGTGAAGTACAATGGGTGGTGGGGTTTTTTGGTTGGGTTTATTTTTTTTTTATTTTGAAGTCATCCTGATTAGTTGCTGAGTTCCCTGTTGTGTTTGCAGCATTTTGCATCATGGATCATGTTTTCCAGCAAGCAGGTTTTTCTATTTAGTGGCACCCAATGCAGAAGCAAATCCAGAGGAACTCTGTTGCTAATAAGGAAACTTTAAAAGATGGTCTGATTTGCCCCAAATTACATTGCTCAGTTGTTCTTGGCTTGCCCTGATGGGCTGAGGTGGGAGGATAGCTGCAACTCCACAGATGGTTTCCATTTCACCCAAATGCTGGCTGGTGACATAACCGAGCTCTGGAGTTAATGAAGGTTATGGTTATTAAGTAGACGTTCCACTTGTTATTACACGACCTGGCCTCTGGCAGGATTTGAGAGGAGATGGTGATAGTCTGATTGCACGGAAATGCACAGTTACGCTGGTCTTCGTACGGCAGAGGTTTGCATCCTGATATGGGTTTGGCTGGGAGATCTTTTTCCCTTTTGCCTGTGAAAGCATCCCTTACATAAAGAAATGCTGCAGAGTTTTGTGGTAAAGATCCCGAACTATTAGTACTCACAAAATGCCCTCACAGTATTGGGGGACATTCTAGCACTTACAGAAAAGGGTTGTGTAACTCCTTTCAGTGACATCAAAAGGAAGGCTAAAGGACTATTATGCCATTCAGAATTTTAATTAAAAGAACAACCAAACAGCATTGAAGCAATGGTAACATTTGAGTCGTATAGTAGAGCTTAACTGAGGGCAGGTCAGACGTGAGATGGCTTTCATTCCCTGTGGGACTTGGGCTGATGTTGGTATGCTGAAGCGTGGGAAGCTTCTGACATCAGCACGGCCCTTCACGGAGAATTGCAGCCTTGTCTTCACGCCAAGAGCCCGGAGAGAGGCTTTATCTAGCTGCAGGAAGTGGCATCCTGCTGTGGGAACGACGGAGCCTTAGCACAAAGGTATTAAACCCCCGAGTTCACATGGGTGATGTTCCCCAAGGAATTATGCATTCGCTCGCAGTAGTGGTGACTTTGTCCTAATGGGGATTTTATTTTGCCTGTGTGAGAGCAATAGCAGTTGCATTGGGGGGGGGGGTCCCACTGGAAAAGACATCAGGGATAAAAGACGGTTCGGGGGAGGAACCTGCAAGAGGCCCAGGTGCCATTCCCTGCCCTGCAATTTCAATCCTCTGTGCCCTCGAGCAGATCATAGCGTCACCCTACCCCAGGAGAGCTGCAGAGCATGCATGCCCATTGGGGGCTGCACTAAATGCCTTGTGCTTGTTAACACTGCTGACATTCTGGACACAGAATGAATGGAAGATACTTAGCAGCTCTCAATTTTTTGCACACTTTTTATGGCTATCATAGGTGTTCGTGTTCAGCCGCATCTTGATGCTGAACACATTTGAAGCGTCTCGCTTTTCTTTGCACTGGAACGAGCGGCATTGGCGGCACGTGGGTCAATACATGCTGCTGGGGCTGTAAGCAAGATGACACTTAGGCCTGCTTTGAACAGAAATAGATGATGATGCCTGTGCTCAGGAGTGTCCAAACCCGGGTGGCGGGGGGGTCACAAGGCTGATAGAAATTCAGTTAGTAAAGTCAGGTTTGCAGTGGACCTGGAATTGCAAGGCTAGAAAAATGAGGAATTGCTGCTTAAAAAGATGCATCTATTAGAGCTCCCAATGCTGCTAAAGCCAAGAGAGCCGAACCATTGTTCTCAACAGCTGGAAATAGAAACTGGAAATAGCCCCTCGGGTTCATGAAATAGCGCTCCATTTAGCCCTGTCGTTCCGAGAACACGAACAGATGTCACTTCCTCCAGTTCTAATGTTAATAAAAATATTTTTTTAAATATTGAATTAATTTTAGAAAGGCTTAAAGGAGACTTTATACCTATTGCTAAATTATTCCCTATAGGTGACAGGCACTCCGGCACAGAGGACTGGGAGCTAGCCCCTTCGTTAAGGGCCCGAGCGATGCTGGAACATTTGAATGGGTCTCCTGCCGGGGGCTGAGTGTCACCTATATGGAGAAGGTCACCCTTGTTGAGGAGGACAGCACGAGGCCTACGTCCCATTTTAAACCTTGAAATAGAGGGTTATAAGCAGTGACCACACCTCAGGCTAGTCCACTGAAAAAAACAAAAACAAAAACAGGGTGAAATTCACATCTTGTGAATAAATCTGAGTTTTCAGAGATGACTTTCTTCTAAAGTTAACAGATTTTTTTTTTTAATTATCTTAACACAGAGAAGAAAATCTAGATCTAATTTAGATTTCGTTATATCTGAGTGCTTTTTTAAAACAAAAATATTTTACTAATTTAAATGTTGCTTTAGATGACTTTATATTTATTTTAAGGGGTAAATATCTTTAGTCTTAATATTTCTACAGTAAGTGCTGTCTATTCACAATGTTTGCATTCCTGTCAACCGCTATTCCAAGACTGACCTAGCGTGCTGTTTTGATGCGCCAGTAGTGACTTAATCAAATTGCCTTGTAAAATGATGTGTCTGATGCAATGTATTATTTTTCTCTATCATTTCTAAATTCTTTTATTGTATACTTTAGGAAATCTGTTACATTTTAAATGTTTTGAGGGTTGCTTGCTTTCTTTCTTTCTTTTTTTTTTTTTTTTTTAAAAAAAAAATCTCAATTTTAACTGCTTTTTTTTTTGTTTTTCTTTAAAACTTTTTTTTTTTAAAAAAAAAAACTCAAATTTAAAATTTTTTTTTTTTTCTTTTTTTTTTTTTTTTTTTTTTTTTTTTTTTGAACAAAGAAATCTCAATTATAACTGCTATTGCTTGTGTTTGCCTTGAAAGCTTTTATTTTGCAAAAGGTTGTCTACTTTGTCCTTTTTGTATAACATCCAGCCCATGACATCAGCATACATGGGCCTACAAACTGCATTTTCAAGGGTTCCTCTTGTAAGTGTGTGTGTGTGTGTGTGTGTGTGTGTACGTACACTATAAAATAGCAATGGGAGCTTGCACTTCAATATCCCCACCTCTACTCTGGGAATCTAAAAGCATTTCATGGACATAAGGCTATATGGGGGCTAGACCCGATGATCTGCAGGGTCCCTTCCAGCTCCTAATAATAATAATCTATGAATCTATATTGTCTAAAAAACACCCTGGTTAACTACATATTATTTTTCCACATTTTATGGATGGGGAGATTAAGGAAATTGAAAAACGGTCTGATATCGAATAAATTGCTAATGTTTGCACTAGAGCTAGGACTAGAACTTGGGGATCCTAACCCAACTACTGGTCTTTGCTTTTTGTGGTGAGAGTTGGGACTGGAGTTGTCCGTGGGCTGGAGAAATCTGGGAAGCAGTAATGCTGAAAGAGAGACCAGGGCCCAGCTGTCAAACTGGAGATTACAATATGCTAAAGGAACCCGGTGGCAGCACTGACATACTTGCCATGTGTCCAGGTAGTATAAGCAGATGCAATAGATGCTTCTGGTCAGACAGACTCTCCTTGAAATATAAATGCTCCCACAAACAGGAGAGAAGCTCCAAGTAAAGCAATAAAAGCAGTTGTTTGAAGTTATACAAGACAAAAAATGCAAAAAACACATCATTAGGCTAAGAGACCAATAAAGCAAGGCATAGCAGCTGCCTCCAAATATTTGCTGGGTGTGAACAGTAATAAGAGAAGGGAATTTACTACAGCAGGACAAAGGAGAACAATTCCCAATAATGAATGGAATTAGTTAAGGGATCATTTCAGTTAAATACATTAAAAAGGGGATAATGAAATATGGGCATTGTGAAATGTAATAAAGAGATCAGTGAGGCTGACAAGCTTCTAGCAGCAAGATGCATCGGGCTGTGGAATAATCTCAAAGGAAGCAATGACAGTTGCACTTAAAACTAGACTGAACAACATGTAAAAAAGTAGTTCATCTCCTCAGTCCACCCATCTGCAGTGTGAGAGAGACATGAAAGAAGGCTGGTTCCTGTCCAGAGCTTAAAACCAGCAGGGTGGAAAGGTGTGCTTCACCGTCCAGCCTTCCCTGAGAGCTTCTCGGCAGTCTCCGATGATGTGAGTTGTTAGCTCTTGATCAAAGGAGTGGGATTCAGGACTCTTTAGCAAAAACAACTTTTTAATCAGATGTTTGTTAGGCATTGATGGTGACTAGTTTCATAGTTTCTAGGGGTGGAAGGGACCTGAGTAGATCTTCTAGTCTGACCCCCTGCCACGGCAGGAAAGAGTACTGGGGTCAAATGACCCCAGCAAGGTGTACAAGGTTTAAGCAAAAACAAAACCCACTGTTTTAGGTTGTCCTAGAGAAATCCCTTCTCAAAATTGGGCATCTGCATATAACCCAGACTTCATCTCAGGGTTTACCAGACCTAAGCGTTCATTTGGGAAAACAAGTG